TGCTAGGGAAAGGAACAAAGAGGAGGCAGAAGTCCCGCAAAATGGCTGGAGGTGGAGCTGAGATGGGCAGCGGAAGGATCCCTGGTAGGGAAATGAGGGTGAGATGAGGAGAAGGAGAATGGCAGAGGAGCTAGCTGCTATTCTGTTAACACTCCTGTGTGGTCCTCGGGGAGCTAGTACCCCATTGCTGCCTCCAAATCCTCAGAAATGTCAGCTGCACATTCACAGCAGTGTGGGTGAGTGGTGTTCGGGGCAAGTCCAGGAAAAGAAGCTTTATTACATGTTTGAATTGACATAGAGTGGAGAGAAAACAAAAGGTGAAATGTGGGTTACAGAGAATTCTGAGCTAGCCGGAAATCATAACCGCAAGTCATTAGGTAAAACGTACGGTTCTCTTGCACCACCACACTCTCCGGGTGCTTTTCCGTAGATATTGGAAAAAGACACAGGGTTTCTCACCGCAAGGAAATTTGAAGCCACTGTATCAGAATTTGAAAGCGCTCCATTACTGTAGCTGGCGTCTGCATTAGCGGTACATTGTCAGCTATTTTCAGGAGGGCTTGGCATTTAATGGCTGAAAAGTGTCAGTCACTCCTTTCTAGGTGCTAGGAGACTGGAATCCTGTAGCTCCTTACCTCCTAGTGAGGACTTGAAAGGCACGTACAGGTTGCGGAGGGCGGGATCGTTTTGGAGGCAGTCGCATGTTTTCCAAATATGCCATCTCTGCATTTTATACCAGAGCTTTGTTTCTTTTTCTTTACACCGCTTACCTAAAAACCGGCCACTTTTAATGTTCACTTAATCGGTTTACAAGGAAAAATGTTTCTCTTTCCAGCATGCTTTCACTCAAGTATATGATGAATTTGTACTTATTTAATATGTTTTTAAAAGTCTAATTAGGAGTTAGTACGCCTTTGGAAACTTTGCAGCGATCTGCAGTTATGACATCATCGTTGTTAATTACTCCTTTGCAAAAATCTGCTTGAATGAAGAAGAGGTGGCTGTGTCTATGTGGGTATTTAAGGTGATGATTAAAATATATTAATGATGGTTTTCACTTCTCAAGCATGGTACATCTTAAGATCTTTAAAAGTGATTTCACAGGCTTTAATTAGCCCTTTATAATTCTATGAAGAAGAAGTAAAACACCTCCAGTTTACAAAAGAGGGAAGTGAAACAGAGAAGGGGCCTGTTTCGGGGAAAGATTTTCGTAGACTGAAGCTGCTGCCCTACAGCTCAATAATGAGCTTAAACCTTCTCCTTTGCTTCACCCAAGAATTGACACTCACATGCTTTAACTGAAGAGCACAAATTTGTTCATACATTGACATGCTAGGCACCCAAATCAGAACAGCACATTTTCGGTACCATAAGAATTAGTTCTTATTATAAGCCACTTCCTAAGGTTATCTAAACAAACGAGGGAGAGAGAGAGAGAGAGAGAGAGAGAGAGAGAGAGAGAGAGAGAGAGAGAAGAAAAGAGGAACAATAAATCAAATGAGTCATAAAACTCAAGACATTCTGATTCTCAGTTTCATCTTCAGTTTAACCATTTTGAGTTCTGGATTATGTATAAAACTGTTCTAGACTTAAAAAAGGAATGGAGAATTGCTAATTAGTTCAGTCTTTATAGGTTATTTTTATTTTCAAATGAAGGAGATGTAGAAAAGTTGATAGGAGTGCATGACAGTAAATGGAGAGAAAAATAGATAATTTTCTTCCCACCTAATTTACTTACCTATATACCTGGAAGGGGCCAAATGAAGGGCATACTTTTAAAAAGCCGTAATAATACATTTTCAAACACACACAAAAGTACAGAGACCCCATATATTCATCACCCAGTTTCCTCAGTTATCAACTTTCTGCTATTTGTTTCAATTCTCTTCTGCCACTTGTTTTGTGAAAGTATTTTAAGCAAATCCCAGACATCACATCATTTCACAATAAATATTTCTGTATTTTTCCCTACTGCATAAGAACTTCAAACATAGAACCATAATACCATTACCACACTTAACTGAAAGAAAACCAATTCTGTGTATTGTTTCATAATCAATCTGTATGTTGTTTCCACTGATTGTTTCAAAATTGTTCCAAAATTGAATTGATTGATATAGCTTAAGTCTTTTATTTAACAGATGGCCCTTCTTCCCCCTCCTCCTGCATTCCATTCCTGTGTTGGAAAAACTGGATCATTTGCCCTGGAGAACTTTCCATAGTCTATCTGTTTAACTGATTGTATCTATGTGTTGTTTTTTTTTTTTTAAACATACCTCTCCACCCTTCATCTTTTCTTAAATAGTAGCTAGATGTGGAGGCCTGATTAGCTTTAAGTTCTTTTTCTTTTTGGGCCCAGAACACATAGTGGTAGGGCTGTGTACTTTCTACAACTTTGCATGAGGAGTCGCCTAATGTCTGCTTTCACCATTTGGAAGACATGTTAGGAATGATCAGTAGGATCTGTGATTTCAGTGCAACATAGTGATTTCCTCATTCTATCACTTCTGCACTTATTAGCTGTGATTCTTTAATAAAGAAAGCCTTTCTCTCATCACCTAGTGTATTTGGTTACCCTGAAATACAGTCCATTAAGTAAAGGCAAGATAAATGCTTGATTCTTTCCCATTAGTTATCACCTTTCAGAATAATGCCCTAGTTACCTCCAGAGTCTGTTGATTAAGTTTTTTTTTTACTGGTAAGTTTTTGACAATTTTTAAAAATTGTTGTTCAGTTACAGTTGTCTTGCCTTTTTCCCCACTGCTTTTCCCTTCTCCATCCCCCCAACTCCCACAGTCAATCCCCCAGCCTGTGGTCTTTGTCCTTGGGTCCTTTATACTTGGTCCTTGACTTGATCCTTCCCCTTCTTTCCTCCTTATCCCCCTCCCTACTCCCCTCTGGTCTCTGTCAGCTTGTTCTTTATTTCCATGTCTCTGGTTCTATTTTGCTCATTTGTTTTGTTGATTAGGTTCTACTTAAAGATGAGATCACATGGTATGTCTTTCACCGCCTGGTTTATTTCACTCAGCATAATACTCTTGAGTTCCATCCATGTTGTTGAGAAGGGTAAAGGTTCCTTCTTTCTGCTGTGTAGTATTCCATTCTGTAAATGTATCAGAGTTTTTTTATCCATTCATTTACTGATGAACACTTAGGTTGCTTTCAGCACTTGGCTATTATAAATTGTACTGCTATGAACATTGGGGTACATAGGTTCTTTGGAATTGCTGTTTCAGAATTCTTAGGGTATAATCCCAGCAGTGAAATTACTGAGTCAAAAGGCAGTTCCGTCTTTAATTTTCTGAGGAAATTCCATACTGTTTTTCATAGTGGCTGCACCAGTCTGCATTCCCAGCACCAGTGTACCCTTTTCTCCACAACCTCACTGGAAATTGTTTGTTGATTTGTTAAGGATGGCCATTCTGACCAGTGTTAAGTGGTATCTCATTGTGGCTTTAATTTGCATCTCTCTGATGATTAGTGATGCTGAGCATCCTTTCATATGCCTCTGGGCCCTCTGTATGTCCTCTTTGGAGAAGAGTCTGTTCAGGTCCTTTGCTCATTTTTTAAATTGGGTTGTTTGTCTTCCTAGAGTCGTGTGAGTTCTTTATATATTTTGGAGATCAAACCCTTGTCCCAGGTATCATTGGCAAATTTGTTTTCCCATAAGGTTGGTTCCCTTTTCATTTTGTTGATGTTTTCTTTAGTTGTGCAGAAGCTTTTTATTTTGATGAGATCCCATTTGTTTATTCTTTCCTTTATGTCCATTGCCCTAGGGGATATATCAGTGAAAATATTGCTGCGTAGGATATCTGAAATTTTCCTACTTGTGTTCCCCTCTAGGATTTTTAAGGTGTCACGATTTATATTTAAGTCTTATCCATCTTCAGTTTATTATGGTGTATGGTGTAAGTTGGTGGTTGGGTTTCTTTCTTTCTTTTTTTTTTTTTTTTGCATGTACTTGTCCAGATTTCCCAATACCATTTATTGAAGAGGCTATTTTTACTCCATTTTATGTTCCTGCCCCCTTTGTCAAATATATTTCTTAAAGATTTTATTTCTTTTTAGAGAGAGGGAGGGAAACATCAATGTGTGGTTGCCAGTCATGTACCCCCTAATGGGGACCTGGTCCGCTACCCAGGCATGTGCCCTGACTGGGAATCGAACCAGCAACCTTTTGCTTCAGAGTCAGGTGTGCAGTCCATTGAGCCACACCAGCCTGGGCCTCTTTGTCAAATATTAACTGACCACATTGACATGAGTCTATTTCTGGGCTCTCTATTGTGTTCCATACTGATGAAGTTTTAAAAATATCATTATAGAGTCATGGATCAAACAAATACACATTAATTTTACTTGCTATGTTTCAATTCATTAGAGTCACTATTCTTTTTTTTTTTAACTTATTTTAATTTTCCCCCATGCTCCCCCCCTCCTCGTACTTTCGCCTCTCATTACAGTCACTATTCTTGTTGATGCTTGTCCCACCTTTGGCTAGTGGAATCACTTAACCTTCCTGTCACCCAAGTATCTTGATGGCTTGACTTCTCAAATAATACGATGTTCCAAGACCTTGTATTTTGCCTGCCCCAGACCTAGAAGCAGGCTTTTCTTCAAGGAGCTCTGGTTTCTTTTTTTGGGAAATGAAAAGGGACCTCCTTTGGATGCAATCTAAAAAGAATTCAAATGAGGTTCCAAGGAGGTATATCTTTGGGTAGTGGACAGTGTAGAGTGAAATTGCAGGAAGGGATCCTGGGCCAGCTCTTCCTGTACAAATGAACAAACAGGTTATCAGCCACCATCAGAACTATGTGGCTGGGTCAAGAGGGCACAGTACTGGGAGACCCTCCCCAGGGTGTGACCTTTGGTAAGTCAGGCCCTAGCCCAGGCATCCCATACAGCCGGACACTCTGCAGTTCCAGGTGCGTGACTAACGTTTCCGGCAAAGGCTCGCCCTGGGACTTTCCCTGCCCCGGCCCCGCCCTACCGAGCTGGTGAGAATGGCGCGGCGGGGGCGGGGGAGAAGGGGGGGAGAGGAGGGGCGGGTGGAGGCTGAGAGCGCTGAGCTGTCTGCCCCGGCTCCGGGGCCTCTGCGTCCCCTGGCGGCCACGCCTGGCGAAGTGGCGCTCAGCGGCCTGCTTCCCCGCCTCTTCGCCCTCCGGGTGGGGCTGGGCTTTTTGGATGCCGGCAGAGGCTGCAGAGGTTTCGCAAGGACATAACCTTAAGGGGAAAAAACCACAGTGTCACTCGGGGCTGCCAACCAGGCGGGGCTGGGCTGAAACGTCCAGACTCGTGACTGGCTGCCGACTGCCCCTCAATTACCGCAGTGGCGTGCCCTGTGCCCCAGGGAACCGAACAGGGCGCGAGCCACACCTTGACTGTATCAGGGCCTGCAGTTGGGGGGCGTCACTCCACCGGCGCAAAACGGAATGTAGGCACTGTTTTCTCTGCCCCTCCCCTCTTCCCTTTTCTAGAAAGGAGGTTCCTGAGATCATGCTAATCTAACCAGCCCCCATGCAGCTGGGTTTCAGTTGGAAGGTTGGAAATGAAACAATGGGAAGTAGGATGGTTTGTTAATAGAGAACAACGGAATTAGGTGCTTTAGACACAGGATGGGTGCAGTCGAGTTTGTTTAGGAGTGCCTGATGAGGAGTGGCAGTCTCCCCCTTCTTCTCACGCAGGCAATGGGAGTGGCCACAGGGATGGGATCTTTTGTGTCCTTGTCTTGCTAGGGTCCCAGAAAAACCCAGGGACTGGGTTGGAGGAGGACTGGGCCTTAGCTCCACCTCCATCTGTCATCCTGATCACTTAACCTTTGTGGATCTCAGTTTTCCACACTTGAAGAATTGTAGTCTGCCCTAGATGGTGGAATGTATTATAAACAGGAAGTGGGAGTGCCTGTCCTGAGACCACCCAGTAAGTCACAGAAAAAGGTGGGGCCAGGGGTCAAGGGTGTCACCCATCCCAGTCCTCTTTCTATAGTTCCTGCCACATTCTCACATGGGCTTCATTAGCAAACATTGTGCATCACAGCCTTTTTGTAGAACATATGCTTGCCCCTAATGTTTATGGGACCTGGAGCAAGAGAACACATGGGCCCACATACCATATGTTCAAGTATTTAAAAGTTATAAATCAAAGTAACAAACTGCTAAATAAAATATGTTCTAGCCTATTACCTTGTCAGAGATACCTCAATAATAATCTGGAAGGCCAAGCTCAAGTTTAAATTCTTTGTATTGGCACTTCTTTACTAATTCTGAATTAGAACATGGTGGCAAAGAGAGTAGCCCCAGATCAGTGGGCTTCTCTCTCTTTACAGACTGGGTCCATCCCTCACCATGAAGGTCCTCTCCCACATGTCTTCAGGAGCAAACAGCTACCACTTATGGGGCTACTTCTCCAAGTGTGCACAGTAGTGGCTGACACAGCCTACCCTCAGGAGGATGGACTAATAAAAGTGGGTTCAGAATTTGTTGGGTAGGGAGTTCTGAGGTCCCAGGTACCCAGAATGTGGTTTTGGGTGGGTGTGTCCATTGACCCCATGACTCCTCCTGTATCTCCCTCCACCTTGCCCAATGTGAGGATTTGGGTCAAGTGCAGACCCATCCAAACACTATGATAGGAAAGACTGATGCCTGTGGGAAGAGGAAGGGTGCCGGGAAGGGGCTCATTTCTTAGAGAAGGTAACATGTATGCTAAACCTGCCAAGAAGGGTGGGCTTTCATCAGGGAGAGAGGTGGGGTAAGAAAGGAGCAAAAGCCCGGGAACCTGCCATTCAGGGTTGGAGTGTCTGTCAATTGTGGCCACAGTACAGAAAGGTGAAAGGCCAATCTGTGTTCTCCGAATAACAGGCAAAGCCTCCATTATTGCTGCCCCATGTAGGATGGAGCCACCAGCTACAGAGCTGGTGATGGGCAGCCTCACCCATCAGAGCAGGACGAGACTCTCGAGCCCATCCCAGCCAGGGCAGCTGTGCACTGGGTAAAAGTCCCTGTACCCCTCCACACACCATTCAACCTTGGTCATCAGTGCTCATTTACCAATTCCAATCAGGGAAGCTTAGCTACTCTGAGCTTTCAGAAGGAACTCTGGGCCCTGACGTGCTGAAAGAGATGACCCTGGAAAGAAGCTTTCTTTAGGTATCAGTGCATCTGCTTCATTTTGCCTGGTAGCCAGAGGTTGCTGTAGAATGAACAGCCCTCATCGCCTCTGGGAGTAGCCCTCTACCAAGGGCAGGAGTTGGTGGATAAACACCCTGGCTCCCTACCCTGCAGTTGTAGAGATATGTGCTCTACACCATTGCCCATAGTTGGCCACAGATTAAACAGCACTTGCCCACAGTTCACACAGCCTTGATAGCACCACTGCTTTCTACTTTCCCCACTCCCCTGCTGGTGCTTTCCGTAATCACTTCCCAAATCAAGGGCTTCCATTCATATCCATGTTTCAGGATCTGCTGCTGGGGGAACCCGAACTAAGCATAAGGACATTTCACGTTGCAGTTGGGACTAATTCCTCATCTGTAAATAAAGGTGTGGAAGGAAACGATCGCTGAGTTTGCCTCATCTGTCTCATATCAGATGAACTGGGGCACCTGGCTTTGTTCCACTTGGTGTCAGAGTGAACCTGCCCGTGCCCTCTGGCCCTAAGGAATGGTCTTGTGATTGTGTGATGTGTGCAAGCAGGAGGAGTCAGGAGCAGAGAAATAGAACTCTGGTTTAATATCTAAGTCTCTTCTGAGAGCCCCCCATAAGAGGCTGCTGAACATCTGAACTCCTGAATGGAAGGAGGAATGCTGCCTTTGCCTTTCATTAGAGTCCCCTTGCTGAGACCCTGACAACTGCTCCCCACCAATGCAGCAGCAATTACAAAGAAATGCTAGGGCTTCCTACCACCCTCTCTGTGGAGGGAAGCTTTTCTAGAAGGCCACCTGCAAAGGCAAAGTGTTGCATCCTAGGCCTCCTTTATTTCACATGCTCCCTTAGCACAGCCCTCTTCCCCTTTTCTGCCCCTTCTTATCAGCCAACAAATGCATTGTGACAGAGAGACAGCAGGGTGCAAACTACCCTGGCAACCCGTGAATGGCTGGGGGCAGGGCTAGCTAGATCTTTGGATAAAAGGGTCTTGTCTGAAGTTTCTCTTGGGGGCATGCCAGTCAATTGCATTTCCTGTGAAAACCTCTTCCCCTTAGGGACAAGTTTTTGATTCTATGGCTGCCTGTCCCCTGAGTTGGAGTCACCTGGTGGATGAGCCCCTTCCTATCTCCCCTGAGGGTCTCTGTTCCTTACTTTCTACTCAGGAGAAATGTCTGATTTCACAAGCTGAGAAAGTCTTCCTCAGGGAGATCCTTGACCCAGAGCAACAGGCCAGCTAGCCTGGAGAAGACTGAATGCAAGGTCCACACCATAAGCCACAGACAAGTGTAGGTGCAGACAGGCTGCTCGCACAGTCATGTTTCAGCCTCTGGCCTGCTGCTGGGGTAGTGAGGAGAGGCTTTGTTGGGCCAAGGTTCAGGATGAAGACTGCAAAGGATGCCTCCAACACCAAAGCCAGCTTGGCCAGGACAGCCAGGATAGTAGGTTGCCATGGACACCTGGCAGTTCGGTCCCGGCAGAGCGGATGGCCAGATCCTACAGCCAGGCCTAATGGATGTGCTGGGGCTACAAAAAAATGTGGGGACATCTGAACTGCAGCCACACCTAGAGCAGACCCCACAACTACTCCCCTAAACCAGGGCTTCCTGAACTTTCATGAGCATAAGAATCTTATTCAAATGCAGATGATGATTCCAGAGGTCTGGGGTAGGGGTGAGGGTACTGAGAGTCCAGATTTCTAATCACCCCCCATGTTACTGCTGCTGCTGGTTGCTGGGCCACACATTGAGCAGCAAGGACCTCACTGAGTCCTGATGGATTTGAGAAACCCCTGCCAGCTTCTGAAAATGGCCCATGGACCTGCTGCCTTGGGCGGTGGCCAGCACATATTCAACCCTCGAACTGGGTCTCTAGCCTGATTGTCGTGAAGGGCCCTCTCCCTAGTATGTTTTTGGATCATCCACCATCAGTCACTCCAAAGAAAGGAAAATCAGCAGCCTGCATTTCGGGAAAACATGATTATTTTTAAGCTGTCCTGGCTTTTCCCCACCTCTCCAAGTTATATAACATGTTCTTGTTGCAAATGCTGGTAACGCTCTTTGGGTGGCAGGAAGCCAATTTCTGGCTGCATATTGCTTGGGGCTAGGGTTGGGGTCAGGGCAGGAGGTGGGGTCTGCAGAGGGTTTAAGGAGAGAAAGGGGCCAGGCAGATGGAGAGGCCAAGGCCTAGAGGTAAAGCCGATTGGTGTGTCAGCAAAATCTGCCACAGGCTTTAGTGATTCGAAAGGCAGACACATTCTTTCATTGCTGGTAATCCTCATCTGATACAGGATTTTCCTGCCATTAAATCTGGAGAAAGAAAAAAAGCTCTCAAACCTGCACAAGCAACTATTCTTCCTTGACCCCAGTTCACCAGCACCCCCACCTTACTTCTCTGTTGGAGGGTTTTTAGCATCTGTGGCTGCCTGACTTGGGAGATGGATGGGCTGGGGGAGCCCAAGGGTGCCTCAGAGGAGGAGGAGCAGGACCAGGCAGGACCCCCAGAACGGTAAGTGACATTTGGGGACTATTCACTAATGCTTCTCTTTAGAGGGTTCCCCTCCGTCCATTTTCTTAATGGATTGTCAGTGAGTCCAACTGAGTGGCTGTTGTCAGGGTTTTAGCCTGAAGAAGGGTTTCTAAACAGATCCAAGCTCTCAGTTTGCAGGGAGCTTCTGATTGGCTGTTGTTACTGGTTTTCCTTAGCCTAACACCAAGATTATGGAGAGAAATGAGTGTGAAGAAGAGGGAGAAAGCAGGGCAGTCAAGGAGGAAGTATGGAAGTATGAGGAGGTGTCTGAGTGTCCTGGTTCTCTAGGGACCACTTTTGGGCACCTGGTGACCTGTGCTCTTTCCCCTCAGGTAGGGGTCCCACAGCTGGGTGGTTGTAAGCCACCAGGTTCGTGAGAGGTCACGGGATGCTGGTCCTGCTGCTGCCTGGTGAGTTTTGAGGTCCGCTCCTTCTATCCCCCAGCAGTCAGTTACCGGTAGGTGCAGGGCTTGGGAAGCTCATAGAAGATGCATGCAAACCCAAGGAGCATGGTCTTCAACTGGCTTCCATGATAGCTGTGTACCTGGACACCAGTTCACATTAGATTTCACTGAATGTGTGATTGGGGGGGAGGGGATGGAGAATGAGAGATAAACAGTAGGTGGTGGGGTTTTTTTGTTGATTTAAAAACAAAACTCCTGAGCCAAATATATGAAATAACTTTTTGGTGATTTGCTTATTCTAATTGCAAATATGAATTCATTGAGGTAGTCACCAAAAACTATAGTGGCTTTCTGATCACATTATTTTAAGCTCATTTAAGTTAAAAAATCCCTTAAAGAAACCATCTTCCTAAAGTCTTCTTAAAGGCTTTCCTAAAATGAAAACTATCATGTTGGAACTGTGTGATTACGGATGTTGAAAGTTTTTTTCCAAGTTTTTGCCCTGTTGTTCCATGGGTTTTAATAGAACCAGAAGACTCATCACATTTTTATTTCTACACCTCTACAGCTCTAGGTGCTCAAATCTAAGATAGCCCAAGGAAAAAATTCCTTGTTAAGTTCTGCAGGTAATAATTCTAAACAAAGAATCTGTTTTCTGACCCTAATATTTGAGATTATAACTACCCATGTAATAGCAGTGCTGGCAGAGAAAATTTTTACCAGAAAATTCTAAAATGGTAATAGAATTTTCTTACTCCTTTTTTGATTTTATTTATTTATTTTTGGAGAGAGGGAGGAGAGAGGGAAACATCAATGTGTGGCTGCCTCTCATGCGCCCCCTACTGGGGACTGGCCTGCAACCCAGGCATGTGCCCTTACCAGGAATCAAACTGGCGACCCTTTGGTTCACAGGCCGGTACTCAATCCACTGAGCCACACCAGCCAGGGTGAATTTTCTTACTCTTTATTCTACCTTTTCTAAAAGTAGAACTTGCTTGATTCAGAGTCAAGAGGTATACACTTTACTGTCAATACACTCCAGGGAAATTATGAGAGATGATTGCATAGACTTTGTCCTTAAGAAACTTACACTCTTTTATGGGAGACCCAAGAAATAAATGAGGAAAAAATTGGAACAAGGCACAAGGAACATTATGATAAATAGTACACGACTGTCTACCTCGAGGAGCCTGAAAAGGACAGAGGTTGACATTTATATAATTACAAACAGCAAGCTCCTTGCCATTCCCCTACCTAGAAAGAATGTGAGGTGATTGACTCATTGGTACAGAATGTTTACTTCGAAGAGCCAATTTTATTTTCAATGTGCACCAAAAGCTCTCTGGTTCCTTGCAGAACACGGACAGTATTCACAGCCTGTGTGCTGCAAAACAGGAACTGTCCCTGCTGCAGGAGACCGAAATACATCTAGACGTCTTGTGACAAGTTGGAGAGCTTAGTGGTGACATCATTTGCTAACAATAGATGCACTTAAAATTAATGACATCCCCTGGCACTTCATTTAAAACACACTCAGCAGCACAGACAATATTGCTTTGACTACAAGTCACAAGGATTACAGATGCCATGTTCCCAAGCAGTAGGCAGAGATAGAGCCCTACCTCCTCAACTAGAGAAAACAATTAAATGAACCTGACAAAATGGATCAGAAGTGCCTCACAGCAGGGTAAATCTGGGGCAAAATGGAAACAGACATTCTCTGGAAACAAGGATCTAGAAAGGCTGAGACTCTCATCCCATTCCAATTTGCCTTCCTATTGGGAGGGGGCATCCGGCTTCTCACAGCATAATATCCTAGTTCTTAACTTGCTTTACAGAGTACTTCACTGTTGGCTTGCTCTAAACCAGGGGTGTCAAACTCCTAGTTTTCACCAGGGGCCACATCAATCTCGAGATTGCCTTCAAAGGGCTGAGTGTAATTTTAGGACTAAATGTAAATGTAACTACTCCTTAACTAGGGGCAAGGAGTTCAGTGCTGCTGCCAAGTAGAAACAAGGTGCCAGGCCAGATAAAACAAGGTGGAGGGCTGGATTCAGCCTTCAGGCTTTTTGTTTGCCACCTGTGCTCTAAACTGAGTCTTTAAAGAGGGCCAGGGTTTGTGTTTTATTCATCCTGTAGTTTCTAAATTCTAAGACATAGTAGGTACTTAATAAGGGTTTGTTTGTGGAATGGGTGAAGCCACCCATTAGAACTATTACAATATCAGATAAAGGTCTTGCATATATATTCCAGATGCAAGGTCTTGCATATATATTCCAGATGCAAAACCTTTATATGATATTGTAATAGTATATACATACACACCCATATATTTTAAAATTCTTATAACTCAACAAGACAAATAACCCAATTTTTAAAACCAGGCAAACAAATTTGAATAGCTACTTCATCAAAACAATCATACAAATGGCTAATAAGTATATGAAAAGATGTTCAACATCATTAGGCATCAGATAAATGCAAATTTAAACTACAATCAGATGCCACTTTACACCCCCTAGGGTGGCTAGAGTAAAAAAAGACAGACAATAATAAGTGCTGATGAGGATGTGGAGCAATTGGGATTCTCATACACTGCTGGTGGGGATGCAAGATGGTCTGGCCACTTTGGAAAACAACTTGGCAGTTTCTTCTAAAGCAGAGGTATCAAATTCATTTTCACTGGGGGCCACATCAGCCTTGTGGTTGCCTTCAAAGGACCGAATGTAATTTCAACTCCTTAACAGTTAAGGAGTAGTTACATTTATACAGTCCTAAAATTACTTCAGCCCTTTAAAGGCAACCACAAGGCTGATGTGGCCCTCGGTGAAAATGAGTTTGACACCCCTATGAATCTAAAGCTCTACATCTATTTACCACTTGACCTAGTAATCCCACTCCTAGATAAATGAGAAATGAAAATACATGTTCACAAAAAGACTTGCACACCAGTCCTTACATCAGCTTTAGTCGTGATAGTTAAACACTGGAAGCAACCCAAATGCTCATCAACAAGTGACTGAATACACAAATTGAGGTACTTTCATACAATTGAAAACTATTCAGTAATAAAAAAATGATCAACTGATATTCAGAGCAACATAGCTGAACCTTACAAACATAATGTTGACTAAAATAACTATTTGATTGCACTTATGTGAAGCTCTAGAACAGGCAAAACTAATTTATAGCTCAGAAAACAGGTTGTTGGTTGCCTGGAGTCAAGGATGGGTAGGGGACCGGCTGTCAAAGGGCCTTGAGGAAACTTTCTGGGTGGTAGAAATGTTATAAATCATGAGTACTATGGTGGTTACATGGGTGAATACATTTGTTATACTTACTGAACTGTACACTTCAAATGGGCAGATTTTACTCTAAGTTAACTATACCTCAGTCAACTTGATTTAAGAAGAAAAAGGAAAGCTGTAGGGAGAGCATAGCTGCCCTCCAGGGAGAAAAAAAATCCCTCATCACTGAGAGTCAGGCATTGTGGAGTGTTGGGCAGTATGTGTGTGAGATTCATTGATGTTACTGCATAGATCATGGCTCCTTCCTTTTGACTGCTGTGTAGTATTCCCTCATATGGTTACATTCATTTGTCTATTCCTTCCCCTGTTGCTGAACATTTGCTTCCAGTTTGGGGCAATATGAAAATATACTCCCCAAGGCTTTTCTGAGGCCTTGTGCTCAACTCTTTAGATGGGACAGCTCTCTACCTCAAGATCCACAGGGCCTGTGAGGGCCATCAGCAGACTACCCTTCTGGAGATGGACTGACTTTTCCATCCTCTATGATTCACATTAGCCAACAAAGCTAGAACATGAATCCATGATCCTTTCTTTCCTGTCACAAAATGTGTCAGAAGCAAGTTCTGAGGTCACCATGAGGTCGGAAGCCAAGTGATGGTCTCCCCCATTGAATTTCTGTACCCTTTCCCCAGCCTGTTCTGTTTTGAAAATCCAGCACTAGATCTTGCCTGAGGAGCAATTGGGGTAGAATTTGCTAAGAGTGGGAAGGGGATGACTTCTAGAGCCAAAGTGGCTGAAGAGATTTTGCTGAACCCAGAAAATTGACCATATTCTCTCTTGCTATTTTGGCTTCATGCGGCACAAGTTCTTTGAAAACAATGAAAATGAAGAAACACTTCAAACTCAGTCTGTGGTTGGAAACTCCATGAGTAACTGTTTTAGCAAACCTCAAGGGGGGAAAAGCACATATTAGAAGAGCTAAGGGCTTCCAAAGGAGCAATTCCTCAGCTGGTCTGCATTGAGGCATCAGTCTGTGGAGCATGTGAGCCCAGCAACCATGGCATCTCTGCAGCTCAGGGGCTAGTCAGAACACCACACAAGGACCTGTTTCTGCTGTTTGTTCAGATTCAGGGACACCTTGTAGTATTTCTTTTTTTAAGTATATTTTTATTGATTATGCCATTACAGCTGTCTCCATTTCCCATACAATTTTTAACCTCCCCCTGTCTATTTTGTACCTACCAATTTTGCTTCTTATTCCCTGTGCCTTTCCCCCATTCTCCCTCCTCCCCGTCCCCACTGATAACCCTCCATGTGATCTCCATTTCTATGATTCTGTTCCTGTTCTAGTTGTTTAGTTAGTTTTTTTAGGTTCAGTTGTTGATAGTTAAGAGTTTGATGTTATCTTACTGTTCATAGTTTTGATCTTCTTCTTTTTCTTAGATAAGTCCCTTTAACATTTCATATAACAAGGGCTTGGCGATGATGAACTCCTTTAAATTGATCTTATTTGGGAAGCACTTTTTTCTGCCCTTCCATTCTAAATGATAGTTTTGCTGAGTAGAGTAATCTAGACTGTAGGTCCTTGCTTTTCATGACTTGGAATACTTCTTCCCAGCCCCTTCTTGCCTGTAAGGTCTCTTTTGAGAAATCAGCTGACAGTCTTATGGGAAATCCTTTGTAGGTAACTGTCTCGTTTTCTCTTGCTGCTTTTAAGAATCTTTCTTTATCTTTAGCCCTGGCTGGTGTGGTTCAGTGGATTGAGCACCAGCCTGCGAACCAAAGGGTCACTGGTTCGATGCCTAGTTAGGGCACATGCCTGGGTTGCAGGCCACATTCCCAGTAGGGGGCATGTGAGAAGCAACCACACATTGATGTTTCTCTCCCTCTCTTTCTCCCTCCTTTCCCCTCTCTCTAAAAATAAATAAATAAATAAATAAATAAATAAAATCTTTAACCAAAAAAAGATTCTCTCCTTGTCTTTAATCTTGGGTAATGTAATTATGATGTGCTTTGATGTGTTCCTCCTTGGGTCCAATTTCTTTGGGACTCTCTGAGCTTCCTGGACCTCCTGGAAGTCTATTTCCTTTGCCAAATTGGGGAAGTTCTTCATTATTTTTTCAAATAACTTTTCAGTTTCTTGCTCTTCCTCTTCTCCTTCTGACACCCCTATGATTCAGATGTTGGAATATTTAAAGATGTCCTGGAGGTTCCTAAGCCTCTCCTCATTTTTTTGAATTCTTGTTTCTTTATTCTGTTCTGGTTGAACGTTTCTTTTTTCCTTCTGCTCCAAACCATTGATTTGAGTCCTGATTTCCTTCCCTTCACTGTTGGTTCCCCACATATTTTTCTTTATTCCACTTTGCATAGCCTTCACTTCTTCCTCTATTTTGCAACCATACTCAACCATTTTTGTGAGCATCCTGACTAACAGTGTTTTGAACTGTGCGTCTGATAGGTTGACTATCTCATCATTGCTTAGTTGTATTTTTGGAGTTTTGATCTGTTCTTTCATTTTGGCCATATTTCTTTGTCTCGGCGCACCTGTTATGTTGTAAGGGGCGGAGTTTTAGGTATTCACTAGGGCGGGGCAACCCACGTCTCTGTGTTGTGGTGCTATATGTGGGGGAGGGGTCTGAGAGGGAGCAATGCCACTTGCTTGGCTCTCAGCTGGCTTTCAGTCACTTCCCCCACTACCCACAAGCAAATCGGGCCCTTCTGGTGCTAATTCCTGGGTAGGTGGGTTTGTGTACATTCTAGGACCATGTGGGTCTCTCCAACGAACTCTCTTGTGAGGCTGGAAGTTTGAAGCTTTATTTCCCCACACTGGAACTCTGGGTTGCACAGTCTGTCACACTCCCCAGTGGTTCTCCCTGGTTTATCCCATACAAATGTTGGACTGCCAGCTGATGCCTCACCTGCCTGGTCCTCCAGCTGCAGCTTTGCCATGTGTCCTCTCCATCCCGGCTGCCCATCTCCGCCCCTCCTTCCCAGTCTGAATGAATGTTTCTGCTTTAACTCCTTGGTTGTTGGACTTCCATACAGTTTGATTTTCTGGCAGTTCTGGTTATTTTTGTTTTCAAATTTGTTGTTGTCCTCCTTTTGGTTGTGTGAGGAGGCAAAGTGTATCTATGTATACCTCCATATTGGCCAGAAGTCTATTTCTTTTTAAAAAATATTTTATTTATTTATTTTTAGAGAGAGGGAGAAAAACTTTGATATGTTAGAGAAACATCAATTGGTTGCTTCTCGCACACCCCCAACTGGGGACCTGGCCTGCAACTCAGGCCTGTGCCCTGACTGGGAATCAAACCAGTGATCTTTCAGTTCACAGCTTGACACTCAATCCACTGAACTACATGTGCCAGGGCAACATTTCTTTTATTGAAGTAAAATTCACAAAAGATAAAATTCACTATTTTAAAGTGTGCAATTCAGCAGAATTTAGTACACTGAACAATGTTGTGTGACCATCACCTTTATCTAGTTCCAAGGCACTTTAATCACCCTGAAAGGAAGTGTAGGAATCAACCTATTAAGCCATCATGCCTCACTCTTCCCTAATCTACTAATCTATTTTCTGTCTCTATGCATTTACCTCTTCTGGACATTTCATATAAAATGGAATCATGCAATATATGGCCTTGTATGTCTGGCTGCTTTCACATGGCATAGTGCTTTTTAGGTTCATCCATGTGGTAGCATGTGCCAGTCCTTTGTTCCTTTTTATGGCAGAATAATATTCCACTATGTGGACGCACCACATTTTGTTTATCCATTCATCTGTAGATGGACATTTGTTGTTTCCATCTTTGGGCTATTGTGAATAGAGCTGCCATAAACATTTGTATAGAAGTATTTGTTAGAACACCTGCTCTCAATTCCTTTGGGTACATACATCAGAGTGGAACTGCTGGGGCATATGCTGATTCCATGGTACACCTTGTAACATTTTATACCACACAGATGAATCCCATTTTTATAAAGTTGGCCCACTATGACCCTTGGTTTTTTATTTGGGCTGTATGTTGGAATCACCTGCATAGCTTTAACTGGACCAATGCTGGGTTCCACCGCTGAAGATTCTGATGTAATTGGTCAGGTGTATATCTTGGGCATTGTGAGTTGTGGGTTGGTTAAAAGTTCCTCAGGTGGCCCTGGCCAGTGTGGCTCAGTTGGTAGAGTGTTGTCCACTCTACCAACTCACAAACAGTGAAATAGTCACCGGTTCAATTCCCAGTCGGGGCATGTGCAAGAGGCGACTCATCAGTGTTTTCCTTTCATATCGGTGTTTGTCTCCCTCTGTTTCTCCCTCTTTTCCCCCTCTCTAAAAATAAGTAAAATATTTTTTTAAAGTTTCTCAGGTGGTTCTCATGTGCAACTCACATAGAGAATTATTCTAGACTCCTCCTTGCAGTCTACTTGTAGTAATAACTTCAATATTCTTTTTTTTAAAGATTTTATTCATCCATTTTTAGGGAGGGAAGGGGGGGGGAGAGAGAGAGAGAGAGAGAGAGAGAGAGAGAGAGAGAGAGAGAGAGAGAGAAACATCAATGTGCGGTTGCTGGGGGTTATGGCCTGCAACCCAGGAATGTACCCTGACTGGGAATCGAACCTGGGACACTTTAGTTCCCAGCCCACGCTCAATCCACTGAGCTACGCCAGCCAGGGCCCGACTTCAATATTCTTATACTTGGTATCTTGCTTTCTACACTGGGGCAGACTTCCACATAGTCCTTGAAGGACCGGTCCCTTGGTGAGGTTTAATGCTGTGACAACAGTGGCTTATGGAGCCTATTCTTAGCTTTGCTCAATGCTTTCACAGCTGTTTCAAGCATTCCAACTCATCTGTTCCTCATAATTGTCCACCTGTTATAGATGAGGAAACTGAGATGCAGCAAGGTTGTGTGAGATGAAAAACAAAAACAGAAATGAAAGTCTGAAAGAGCAGGGATGAAAGGCAGTGTCATGGGAGTTTATGAGAGAACCAGAGTGAGAGGCCACACCCTCAGGAGGAATGTTTCTAGACTGAATGCTCTGGAAGAAGCCCCACATGTGAATCCTGGAGCTATGACAGAGGCTGGCTCAGCTGTGGCCAGTCCTGCTGACTTTCTCATCTCCCCTCTGTACCTCAGACTGGGAAAAGCACTGAATAGCCTTTTCAGATTTTCACATGGATCCTTTCCAAAAATACTGGTGTGAGAACAGGAATTGCTAAGAACTGCCAATGTTTGACCTCTTCTCACAAACTGTGATCTTTATTTTAATTTGGTAAATGTTTTTCTGGCTAAAGCATTCCCATGGAACTCAGCTCTGGACAGCCAAGATTTGTTTTTGGAATGATCACTGCTGATTCCAGGAGAAGCCACTTTTCATTTGGATTTGGAAAAATTAGGGATAGACTAAACAAATTGGAATTCACTTTCCTCTATTTCTTGGCAATGAATGGTAAGGAGCTTCCTTTTAGTTGAAGGGCACTGCCTGGTCTCGAATTTTAGTTTTCTCTTTCAAGGTAAAGAGTTCACAAGATTCCTCAGGGAAAGGGAGAGGGGCCCTGAGGAGGAAATGGATTCTCTTACAGTGTTGGTAATGTCTCTACTCCAGAGATTAAGGGAAATTGCCTTACTCAGGATGTTGCTCAGGAATGTAGTTGCAAACCAGAGAACCCACTATAGGTCGTTCAGGCTGAGAAGGGGTTTATTTAGGCATGTTAGTTGTCCCCAGGCTTCCTAGTTGGAGACCCACTGCCTGGAACAATGCCTAAACCAAGTAGTGGTGCAGTTGTAGCAAAGAACATGTGGACACCACCACTGGCAACACACCTGGAAGCTCATGAAAGTCAAGCTGGGTGCTGGATGTCAGAAATTCCATCATGGCAGCCTAAAAGCCAGGTGCCTGTGCCATCATACTGTCCAGAAAATGGTTACTGCCTGACACCTACTTCTGAATCCAAGTCTCACTGGGTGTATGTGATCCACAAAGCTAGGTCACGTGCTTGGGCCCTAGCTGCAAGGCAATTGGGAAAGTTTCTGGTTTCAACCTGGAAGAGGCAGGATTTACAAGGTAGGAAACTCCCTAAGTGTAGAAAGAGTGCTTACAAGGTTCTGGGGAGCCAGAAACCATCTCAAATATCCACTATTATCAGACATGGTTTTGTCACAAGGGACAGAAGTCTACTTGTCCACGCAGATGGTTTGAGTGGGTTTCTGAAATGAAAACAGGGAAATGTCACAGAAACAGCTATAGTAGGGCGTTACAGAGCTGGCTAGCAGCTTCCCACACTCCCTGACCTCCAGCTTTGTCTTTCTCACATTGGTTCTAATCTCTCGGCACACCAGCTTCCTCACCTTGTCCTTATGTAACATGGAGCCCCAAACTAGGGAGCTGCTAAAGTGTTCATGATATTACGAAAAAAAAAAACAAACCCATTTAGAGGAATAGCATTATGTGGACATCCCATTTATTACTCACACTACAACGGAGTGCAATGATGGCAGCAGGCTTGTGTGAGAGAGACCACACCTCCTCCACTCTGAGGCTTGTTATACAGGGTCCCAGACAAAGGAGGTACATGTCCTACTTGTGACTCTAAACTACATTACCTCTGTGTACATGCAGAAAGAAAAGGTCAAGAAGCAGTCACAGGACCAGAAGCTGCTCCCAAAAAGAGGTAAGGAGGGAGTTATAATCCATTCCCAAAACAACATACATTCCTTCTGGCCAGGGGGAGAGGAAGGGCCATGTCCATTGACCCCACACCTTGGTTGCTGCTTCCCTATAGCTTTGACCTGCACATGGCTTTGGTACAAATTCCAGCTTTGAAGCCATACAGGTTGGTTCTCACATGATTTCACTGTCTGTTCCATGTTCACAGGGAAGGAATGAATGTCACTCTGCTTGGGCCAAATGTTCACCCTCGGCCCAAATAGCTGTGGTTGGGAGGAGGCGGTAGAGACACATGGAACTCTGGGCGAGGTGTTTTTTTTCTTAGACATGGTGGTTGGCAACAGCTGCTGCTAGACCATGGAAAAATGAGAGCCAGAAGGTCCCGCAAAGGTCAGGAAGTGCAGGCCCTTCAGCTCACAAAGAAGTGGAACCTCGGAAAGGTTAGGTATATGGGGCAGGGAGTACTACAGTATACTGGAAAGACAAAAAAACAAAGATTGGTGTTGATTAACCATCCTGAACCTCAGTTTCCTCTTTTGTGAGAAAAGAATACTACTTTGTAGGATTGTCATCTTAAATGAAATAATGTATGTAGCAAAGTTAGCCTTGAGCAAACACTAAAGGTTGGTTGTTAATAAGAGCAAATGAAACCCATAAAATTTAATTTGAGTATCATTATACAGCTCATATCACCCAGATAACATTCCTAAACCATGTCCTGTACATATTTGCTGTTTTGCACTGGAGTCCATCTGTAGGCCTTGTTCTCTGGAGCTCCCAGTGCCATTGCCAGCAGCCTTGTTCTAGGACTGCATAGAAATGCTTTCACACAGTATGTATGCTTTTGGTTAAGTTTCTTTGCTCAACATAACTTCTTTGTTTGTTCCTTTTTGTTCCAAGTAGTATTCTGATATATAAATAAATTATAATTTGTTTCTGTACTAAACTGTTGGCTAATTTCCAGTTTTTATCTATCACGAATAAGCCACTATGAACATTCTTGTATAGTCTTTATGCAAACATTTTTTTTTTTCATTTCGCTTGGGTAAATACTTAGGAGTGGAATTGCTGAGTCATGGGGAAGGCATATGTTTAGATTTAATAGACACTGCCAAAGTTTTCCAAAGTTATTGAACTATTTTCCACTCCCACCAACAATGTAAGAGAATCCAGTTGTTGTATATTCTCATCGACATTTGGAGTTGTCAGTCAAATTTTAGTTATTCTACTGGGTGTGTAGGGAAATCTCACTGTAGCTTTAAGTGCACTTCCCTAATGGCTAATGATGTTGAGCACCTTTGCATGTGCTTAATGGCTATTTAATATGTTCTTTTGCAGTGTTCCAGTCTTTTGCATTTTTATTTAGTTGTCTTTCATTATTCATTTTAGATGTTTTTCTTTTTTTTTAAAAGATTTTATTTTATTTATTTTTAGAGAGGGAAGGGAGGGAGATAGAGAGAGAGAGAGAGAAACATCAAGGTGCGGTTGCTGGGGGTTATGGCCTGCAACCCAGGCATGTATCCTGGCTGGAAATCGAACCTGGGACACTTTGGTTCCCAGCCCGCGCTCAATCCACTGAGCTATGCCAGCCAGGGCAAATGTTTTTCTATTCTGTACACAAGCCACATATAAAGTACTCCTTCCCTTAATGGTATCTTTTTTTTTTTCTTAAACAGCTTTATTGAGCCCTGGCTGGTGTAGCTCAGTTGCTTGGGCATTTCCCCGCAAAACAAAGTGTTGCAGGTTTGGGCCAGTCAGGGAGCATGTGAGAGGCAACCGATTGATATTTCTCTCTTACATCAATGCTTCCCTCCTTCTCTCTCTTCCTTCCTTCACCCCTCTCTCTCTAAAAAGAAAACAGGTTTATTGAGGTATAATTTGACATATAACAAACCAAACACATTTAAAATGAACCCTCATGTAACCATCAATCAACATACTCAAGATCAAGATAATAAACACACTCATCACTCCCAAGATTCATGCCAATTTATAATCCCTCTCTCCTGCCCTACCCTGCCTCCCCAACCCTCCCCAAGCAACCACTGATCTGTTACTATATACTAATCTTCAGCTTCTAGAATTTTATGTAAATGGAATCATATAGTATGTACTTTTCTTCATCTGGTTTCTTTCATTCAGCAGAGTTGTCTTGAGCTTCATCCATTTTGCACATATCAATTGTTCATTCCTTTTTATCACTGAGTAGTATTCCATTGTATGGATAATCATAATTTGTTTACCCATTCAACTCTTGATGGGTGTTTGTGTTGTTTACAATTTTGGAAATTTTTGTGCCAAGTCTTTTGTATGGACATATGTTTTTATTTCCCTAGGAGTAAATGGGTGGATCACAAGGTAGGTATATGTTTAACTTTTAAGGAAACTGCCACATTGTTTCCAAGGCTGTACCATTTTACATTCCCAACAGCAGTGCAGTAAGAAAGTCCCAGTTGTTCCATATGCTCTCTAACACTTGGTATGGTCAGTCTTTCTAATTTTCGTAGGTGGCTATTTTAGTTTGCATTTCCCTAACAACTAATGATGTTGGTCAACTTTTCATGTGTTTATTCAGTTTTTGTATATCTTTTTTGGTAAAGTGTTTCTTCAAACATTTTTCCTATTTATTAATTGGGTTGTCTATTATGTTACTATAGAATTGGTTTTAAAATATTTATTACATTTATTGAGGTAACTATGGTTAATTAGATTATATGGGTTTCAAGTGTACAGTTCTGTAATGTCATCTGTATATTGCATTGTGTTGTATGCTCACCACCCAAAGTCAAGTTTCCTTCTGTCACCATCATTATTGTTTGGATAGTTGTGTGTGTGTGTGTGTGTACATGTATGTGTGTGTATGTGTGTGTGTATACACACACACATACACACACACACACACACACACGATCCTCACATCTATGTTTTTAAGTGTATTTTATTGATTATGCTATTACAGTTGTCCCATTTTTTTCTCCCCTTTATTCCCCTCCGCCCTGCACCCCACCTTCCACATCATTTCTCCAACTTAGTTCCTGTCCACAGGTCATACATATAAGTTATTTGGCTTCTCATTTCCCATACTATTTCTAACCTCCCCTTGTCTATTTTGTGCCTACCATTTATGCTTTTTATTCCCTGTTCCTTTTCCCCCATTCTTCCCTCTCCCCCTCCCCACTGATAACCCTCCATGTGGTCTCCATTTCTGTGATTCTGTTCCTGTTTACCTGTGTGGTTTACCTTGATTTAATTTTATACTATTTCATGAATAATGTAAAATCCTTATAACAGTACAATTCAGTTTACCTCCCTTCTGATTCTTTGTTATTATATTTTTCATTTACATATATTATAAACTCCACAATACATTATTATTTTTGCTTTAAACAGTAACTTGTCTATTAAGCAATTAAGGTGAGAAGACTAGTCTTTTCTATTTAGTGACATTTGCCATTTCCATTACTCTTCATTCCTTCCTATAGATCTGATTTTCATCTAGTATCATTTTCTTTCAGGATAAAGAATGTCTTAATTTCTTGTACAGGAGATCTGTTGGAGATGAATTTTCTTAAATTTTGTTAGCCTGAAAGTATTTCTATTTTACTTCACTTGTGAAGGTATTTTCATTGTCTATAAAATTCTAGGTCTTGCTTTTCTCTCAGCACTTTAAAGGATATACCAGTAATTCTATTTTCTTATGGCCTCTGTTGTTTCTGATAAGAAGTCAGTCATCATTTTTATTGTTGTCCACTCTATGTAATGTATCTTTTTTCTTTGGATGCTTTAAAAATTTTTCTCTTTATGTGGTTTTCAGTAGTTTGACTATGATGTGCCTAGGGTGTGTGTGTGTGTGTGTGTGTGTGAGAGAGAGAGATATTAGTTTGAGTTTGCTGAGCTTGTTTTAAATTCCATTTTGGAAATTGTCTTCAATTATCTTTCTGCCATATTCTCTCTCTTCTCTCCTATGGGACTCCAAATACATGCATGTAAATCTAATTGCTTGATATTATCCCACGGGTCATTAAAGCCCTGATCATATTTTTTCCAATCTGTTTTCTCTTTGGGCTTCATTTTGGGTAATTTCTATTGCCCTCTCTTCAAGTTCATTAATTTTTTCTTCTGCTGTATCTAATCCGCTGTGTTTTTTTATTCAATGATTTTTTAAAAAAACATTTCAGACATTCTATTATTTCAGTACTAAGAACTGGCTTCATTTTTAGAGTTTCTAAAATTCAAATTCTCATGTCTTCACCCATTATATGTATTTTTCCTATAAATTCCTTAATATATTTATAATAAATCCTTTTTTGGTAATTTCAACATCTGGGCTGTCTCTGGGTTTGCTCCGGTTAACTATTTTTTCCCCTTTTGATAAGTGTCATGTTTTACTGCTTCACATATCTAATATTATTTGACTGTATACTGGATATCATAGGTGATAGTTATAGAAACTCTAGATTCTCTTCCCTTCCTTTAAAGAGTATTGAATTTTGTTCTGGCATTTAGTTAAATTACTGGCAAATCACTTTGATGCTAAGAGGCTTGGTTTTAGGCTTTGTTAGAATAGGCCTAATTTAGTTTTACCCTTTGTCCTGGGAAAAAGTTTTTACTCCAAAGGTGTGACCCTCTCAGGTTTCAGTGGAAAGCTCCAGGTATTTGTACAAGCTCTTTTAACTGTGTGGACCTTGAACTCTTAATCTATCTCCCATTACTAGGAAATTACTGAAATCTCTGTTTAGCTCTTTTAGCCTTCAGTTCTTGGTTCCTTGGAGTCACCGCACATATATGATATGCACTTTAGGATTCCTCTTTTCCATGTTATCCCTCCTCAATTTCCAGCCATTGCAGCAGCTGAATTCTCTGACCTTTAACTTGTCAGTCCAATAAGACTCGCTTTGTCTTTGAGCTCTGTTCCCTGTGTACAGTGTGGACTTGAAAATGCCAAGAGAAAACACTAGTTAAATGTGGCTCTCATCTAGTTTGCTTCTTTCCTTTTAAGGGTTGTATCTGCTCTGATGCCTGTTTAGGTTGCTTTCCAGTGACTACAAAATTTTTTAAAAAATATTTTCCCCCATAGTTTACACCAGTTATTGGCAGGAATATTAATTAGTCCAATACAAACTACTCAGTCATTTATTGCAAGCAGAACTCACCCACATATGTTATTATTTATTTAAAAAATTGTTTTAGTGCCCTTGTCTCTGGGTTATTAAGCAGGTAGTTAGTCTTCATATTAGGTAAGCCAATACTGGAGTTTGGTTGTGTGTTCTGAGAATTTACTTGATTTTACTAAATAGCCCTGACAGGCGTGGTCCAGTTGGTTGGATGTTGTTCTGTGAAGCAACATGTTGCCAGTTTGATTCTCCACCAGGGGATGTGCCTGGGTTGCAGATTCCATCCCTAGTTGAGGGGTGTGCAAAAGTCAACCAATGATGTTTCTTTCTTGCACTGATGTTTCACTCCCTCTAGTTCTCCCTCCCTCCCCCCTCTATAAATAAATAAATAAATAAAATCTTTACAAAATAAATTTAACTAAATAACCCAGTAAATTAGTTATTTGTAATGGCTATCAAAATTTCAGAGGCTGAAAACAGGTCTAATAGTGACAACATCTTGAGTGTTTAAAGATTAAAATAAACTTTAATTTACTTTCTGAAATAGGCATTACATTGACATGGTTAAAGCTTTAAAATGTAAAAAGGATATACAATAAAAAACTTCACTCCTCTTGCATGTTTAAAAAAATTAGCAGCTACATTTTTGATCTCTTACATTATACAGGCAAATTGATTTTATCCTGTATGTCATAATCCCTCGAATTCCTCAACAAAGAGTTTTTTAAAAATAAATTACATCCTCTCTCAGGAATCATTAGAGAGGAAGGCATCAATTCCATTTAACTCTGTAACCATTTACTGAGCCATACAGTGTGCCTGGAACAATGTTAGCTATTGTGGAGCAGAAACATGAGTCATATGGTTGAGAGTGCACTTCTGTTAATTAGAAAGGAGAAGAGAGTAGAATTAAGGACTATTTGTAAAGAAACCTGATGCCTTCTACTTGACCCAGTTGGAAGAGCTGATAGAAAAAAGTTCCACATATGTCCAGCTGATACCTGGACTTAAGGTTATATTCTTGGCCGTGTCTCTCAAACTGGTATTTCTCCAGGTCAGCAGCTGCCCCGCTTATAGCCAAGCTCAGCACAGGGTCCAAGAACCTTGTCGTAAACTTGGTGTCTAGTTCACAGTTCTTAGGGACAGGGAAAAGCTAAGTCAAGCCTCTGTAACAAGAATATTGAACTAACTACAATTTACAAAGGGTTGTAAACCCTTTGATGGGTTGCTCAAAGGGCTGAGTGTTCTCCCTGCCATGTCTGAAAGGGCTAAATCCCCTTCTCAGCAGCTGAAAAAATGTGGAGTGTGCACAACCGATGTACTGAAAAGACACTGGAAGTTCACCAAACATACAGAGGCGGCAGCAAGCACAGTTTGCACATTCCTGTGTGGCTACACCTTCGGATTCCCAAAGGGCTTGGATAGGCAAGGCAGGGTCATGTGTACACCATGAGGGGAATGGAATGGTAGGCCAGTAGTGATAACTGGGAATTTGGGAGTACTGCTGAGGAGGTTCAGATCACATGTACTGTACCTGTGACCTGTACCTGCCCAGAAAATAAAACATGCATCTTTCAGGTTGCTCTTTTCATTGGAATTCAAGATGGGGCTTGGGACCTCTGGCTTCCAAAGGGAAGCAGACCATGCCATTTTGCTTTGCTGCAGGTGGCAAGCCTACTGGGAGGGCTTTTGAAGTCTTTATCTGATTCTCTATTCAAATGATCAGAAAAAAGATTAATTTATAAGCACCATTCTTTCCCATGATGATGTAGAGAGCAAGGGCTGGTGAATGGAAATTAACTACACAGTATCCACAATCATTCTTTTGAGATATGAAAGAAGGTCATTGATGGTTTATTTAGTATGCTGTCTTTATGGCTTCATTTTAGTGACTGTTAAAGCAAAAAGATTGATAGGCTTTTTCATTTCCAGCTTCCTGTTCTCTAATTCTCCTTTGTTTATGAGGCTTAAATTACTCAATGGGGGTTTCCAGGAATAAAATTCTTATGGTGGGAGGGACTATTACAGCACCACCCATAGAAATATATTGCAAGCCACATATATTTACATTTCCAAGTAGCCTCATTAAAAACATAAAAAGAAACAGTTGACATTCATTTTAATATTTTAGTTAATCAACTATATCTAAAATATCATTTTAACATGTAATCAATATAAAAATGGATGAGATATTTTACTTTTTCTTGGTACTAAGTCTTTAAGATATGGTCTGTATTTTTTACTTACAGCGTATCTCCGTTTGGGCGAGCCACATTTCAAGTGCTTGAGAGCCACATGTGGCTAGATTGGGCAGTGTAGACCTAAAGTGTGGGCCACAGCGATGCCTTTGAGGATCCCTACACATGCAGACAACACACCTTCCAGGTCAAATTCTAGGGGAGCACAAATGATGATATAGGCAGGAGGGAGGGTTAGAATGGGGTCAGATGCTGGGATTCCAGCTGTGTTTTGCTGAGTAAGATAACTGGGATGCAAGGGTGTGGGGAATCCTGTGTAAAGTCTAGGAAGCTGAAAGAGACCATTTGGAAGATGCTGCTATGCAGAAGGTATGAGAACTTGGTGGAGGGCTGCATCCTGCCATGCGGACAGGTAGAATTTTACCTTCAGTGACCCTGTGGTTGATGGTCGCTCCTTGTTTTGTCTTTTCTCCCCCTTCCTAAACCCTGCCCAAGTGGTGGTCCTCAGCCTGCCCAGCGCCTGGGCAGAGAAGGCCTGCAAGAGCACCTGCCCAGAGGCCTGCTCCTGCAGCAGCTTGGAGCGCAGCTGCTTGGTGCGCTGTGACCGCGCTGGCCTCCTGCGGGTGCCAGCCGAGTTCCCGTGTGAGGCAGCCTCCATTGATCTGGACCGGAACGGCCTACGCTTCCTGGGTGAGCGGGCCTTTGGCACGCTGCCGTCGCTACGTCGCCTGTCGCTACGCCACAACAATCTGTCCTTTATCACGCCTGGTGCCTTCAAGGGCCTGCCACGCCTGGTAGAGTTGCGCCTGGCACACAACGGCGAACTACGATATCTGCATGCGCGCACCTTCACTGCGCTGGGCCGCCTGCGCCGCCTGGACCTGACAGCCTGCCGCCTCTTTAGCGTGCCAGAGCGCCTTCTGGCTGAGCTTCCTGCCCTGCGGGAGCTCATCGCCTTCGACAACCTGTTTCGCCGTGTGCCAGGTGCGCTGCGTGGCCTGGCCAACCTGACGCATGCGCACCTAGAGCGCAGCCGTATTGAAGCAGTGGCCTCCAGCTCCCTGCAGGGCCTGAGGCGCCTGCGCTCACTTAGCCTGCAGGCTAACCGAGTGCGCATGGTGCACACCGGTGCCTTCCGCGACTGCGGTGCCCTGGAGTACCTACTGCTCAATGACAACCTGCTAGCCGAGTTACCTGCTGATGCCTTCCGTGGCCTGCGCCGCCTGCACACTCTCAACCTGGGTGGAAACTCCCTGGGCCATGTGGCGCGCACATGGTTTGCCAACCTGGCTGAACTCGAGCTGCTCTACCTGGATCGCAACAGCATCACCTTTGTGGAGGAGGGTGCCTTCCAGAACCTCTCAGGCCTCCTTGCTCTACACCTGAATGGCAACCACCTCACCGTGCTCACCTGGGCTGTCTTCCAGCCTGGCTTCTTCCTGGGCCACCTCTTTCTTTTCCGCAACCCATGGCACTGTGACTGTGGCCTGGAGTGGCTGCGAGACTGGATGGAGAGCTCTGGGCATGTCACCGATGTGCCTTGTGCCTCTCCGGGCTCTGTGGCCGGCCTGGACCTCAGCCAGGTGGCCTTTGGGCACTCTTCTGATGGCCTCTGTATGGACCCTGAGGATCTGAACCTCATTGCATCCAGCCCAGGCCCACCTTCAGAGCCAGTGGCTACTACTGTGAACATGTTCAGCAGTCTTCTCTCCAAGCTGCTGGCTCCAATGGCCCCAGTGGAGGAGTCGACCAACATCACCACAGGGCCAGTCAATGCCTCGCTGTCTGATATCCTTCCCTCGGTTGGGGTGGGAAGCTCAGGCCACAACACCTTATTTCTCTTTGGCTCTAGTCTCCTGCTCAGTGTGGCCCAGCACATGGTGTTTGTCCTACAGACATGCTGACCCTGCCACACTGGGGTGGCATTGGCCAGTGGGGGATAATATACTTAATTGAGTTTGAAGGTGTTCATGGTCAGGGAACAGGATGGGAACAGGTGGTGAAATTCCAGCGGAAGATGGAAGGAACAGTTTGCCTCTAGATGTGGCCCTAGGTCAACATTCTGGTATGGATGTCTGCTTATGTCATGTGGGCATCAATTGGAAAAGAGAAGCAAGAATGGACATGGACCTTCCTACCAGAAGGCTAGGAATTGGAAACTCCTAGGGCTTCAAGGCTCCACCTCCATCCCTCCTCCCAACACCCCCCCCCCATCTCCCAGGAAACAGGGACTGCAATCTCTGAATTAGAGTCAGTTTATTGGCTAAGAATTAAGTACTGTGCTAATTCTCCTGATGGGGCAACTCGTAAGACCCAATCCCTTTGTTTTCTACCACAATCCTCTTCCCCCTGGGCCTGAGGACACTAAGGTCCAGGAAAATGGACAGGATAGGAGAGAAGGGGGATGGGAGAGGGACTTAGACCTATGGGTGGTGGCAGTTCCTGGAGTCTGAGATATGTTAGGGGGTGGTTAAAACAAAGATCCATTTCATTTACTCCATAATTATTCCCAGAGGTGACTTTAGGCAGAAAGGAACTTTAGGGAAGGGTAGGGAAAAAAAGAGGGGGTAATATCTGTGGACAAATAAGTTTGTAACATCCTAAGATTTAAAAAAAGTTTACAGATTTTTCTATTGTAGGACTTTTAAGAGTCTTTCAATTTGCAAACATACACTGTGAATCTCTAGAGAGGCCACAAAATCTTTTCTTAGTGTTTTGTGTGAAGAGTGTCCAGAAGACACAGAAATGCTATGTTAGCAGGACAGGGAGTCTCCAGCTTGAATGATCCTATTAGCTGTGGAAATTATTATGGGCTGCACACTTTGGGGCTGACTAACTGCCAAGAAGAAAGGAGGCAGCAAGTAGTTAGGGAGGGAAGCTGAGATATTTCCCAGGGAGGGAGTTGGCCAACTGTCAGAGCAAAGACTGTATGTCTGCTAAACACTTGTTCAAGCTGTTCTCCACACACAGGTAGTGATGACTACATTTGTCAACATTCTGGAAATCCCTAATTTTTGTGTCCTGAATTCCTCTCTGTGTATTTGAAGAGGTGGGTTTTCTTTGTTTTTTTTTTCTTTTTTAACTTTAAAGACATTTTTGCTAATATATCACCCAGATAAATGAGAGGATATTGATATTTTACAAAGGGAAGCACCTATTACAAATTTTTATATTTATACAACACATGGATGCTCAAAACTGCATAGACAAATGTGAATATACCCTAGTAAAGTATATATGTACATATATACATTTATATATATTTTTGAGTTCTGTAAATATGCTAGTCCAAGGAATAGGAAGTGTAATAAGAATTGCATAAAGAAACTCAAGGTGCATTTCTTTCATCCAACTTTTTCTTAAGAAAACTTAAAAAAATTACTATAGATGTGACTTCTTTGTACTTCCTAACTTCACTTTTATGCCAGCAGAAAATATATTTACTACTGTTGTTATAAAAGGTGTTGGGTTTTCAAAGCCCACCCAGGTTCAAGGTGCATCAACTTGTCGGTTCTTCCTGGTGACAGTACTTCTTGTGTATCTCTAGGTAATATTATGTATTAGAAATGTTGCAGAAAGGACCACTTGAGAGGTGTGTTCAAACAGGTTGTGACTGTTAGTGGTCATTAACTCAATATAAGAAGTCGTAACCACCATTTCAAAAACAAGATGGAATGCAAAAGTCATAGAGCATCACCTGTAATATTATAGGAGTACACATTGTTTTGTGAAACTTTTTATTTAATTTGTATGCATTTGTTCAGATTATATATGTGTGTGTCTGGATTGCTTAATACAATCTATATTTTATTGTGGGTTAGCATTAAAAAAAGTTTGAAAGTCACTAATCTGGAACATGCATGATCTTTAAAAAACTTTTTATTTTGAAAAATATCTAACCTACAGAAGACATTCAAGAAGAGTAGAATGAACACTTTGGCTGTTCACCTAGGTTTTCCAGTTGTTAACATTTTACTATTATATTTGCTTTTTCTTGCTCTCCATATCGTTATTATTTCATACCAACAGTTTGAGTTTGTTGAAAACATCACTACCCTTCACCCCTAAATGCCTCAGGGTATATTTCCTAAGAACAAGGTCATTCTCTTATCCACAATACCATTATTTCAAAATCAGGAACTTTCTCATCAATATGATACTATTATTTAAACTATACTCTATATGGAAACTTCAACAGTGTTCTAAATGATCTTTTATGTAGTCATTCTTTTTCCTGTGGGTGGAAAAATGAGGTTCCTAGGGCATGGCTTGTGTTCATTTGATCACAGTACTTCAAAATTATAAATCCCTCAATTGATTTTTATGTTTCAAAATGAATTCATGCTCCAAATGTCTTACTTTTCAAATGTGAGACCCAAATGAGGTCAGAAATGTTTGTTCAAACTGTGTGCTGTGGCCATGGTAACTGAGTGAGAATCATGAGAATTGTGGAGACCAGATCTCTTGGTAACCATGGAAGCCCACAGCAGACATGCGGCCTGAGTTACTGAGAAACAGGATGCCACCTTGGGAGGAATGTTCTTCCTTTCATTTGGAGCTGGTTCCTGAGAGCTAGCCTCAAAATGCTGCTCCAGTTCTGCCTGGGTGGTTAGATGGCTAGCTTTTTAAGGGACATTTGTTTGGCTGAATGTTTTTGAACAAGTATCAACACTGAAATAGCCTCCGGGGAGACAGATTTTTATAGAGCTACCCAGCCCAGTAGAATTCTGGGAACGTGGGAGTTAATTGACAAACAGATCCAGAGTTGCCTGGAATGAGTTCCCAGTGAATTGTGGCCATTATGGGCTTGCTCATGAGAGAAGGGGGAGTGAAGAGTTCCCAGTTTTGAGTTCATTAAGTTTTTTACCCCATCATTGGCTAATTAGCACCTTAGTGAATAATAGTAAGGAAATAGTAAGGCACTATGGATTCTGCTAAGCAAAACTATGTACCTGTCAGGATGGACCATGTTTTGCTGTGGTAACAAACAACCCCCAATCTTCAGTGACTTACTGAGGGATATTTCTTGCTTATGGGCCATGTCCAATGTGGGCTTATTATGGGGGGCTCTGGTCATTGGGTCCAGACTGATGAAGGAGCTGCCATTTTAAGACATTGTTATTCAAACATGGACTCTAGGGTTTGCTACAACAGAGAAGGAAACCTTGGCAGATCCATGTGTTACTGTTAAATTCTTCCACCCAGATGTGCCACATATTGCTTGTCACATTTGATTGGCCAAAAATATCACACAGCCGCACAGCTTCACCAAGGCAGGGAAGTGTGGTCCTCCCATGTGCCCAGAAGGAGAGAAGTGGGAATACTGATGAACACTAGCAACGCTCCAAAGCACCAGTGGCTACAGACATCTCACCTAATAGAAAGAAGCCTGGACTTCTCAGAACTGTCAGAAGAAATAGGAGCTCGAGGGGGAAATCTGGTGAGCAGGCCACTAGTCACAGTCTTTCTCTCCCCTTCCAGCACCCTAACTAGGCTTTGAACGCAGCATATGCTTGAGCCAATAGGAATGCCACAGCCTCATTATATTGGTTCTTTCAAGGAAGGGGAGAGAAAATGTAGAGACAAAAGATTCATATTTTCCCCTTAAAAAACTATTTTCCACACAAGACTCAAATCCCCAGAAGCTTGATCTTTGAGAAATTCCCTGTCATAAAGCCCCTTGGCTGTTTCTAAAAGGTCTGCCTGTTGGCTATGATTTCACAAGGGTAGTCAACAGCCTTCTTGTCCACCTACCTCTTTGTCAGGCCACCACAATGCTGCCCTCTGGAGGACACTGTCTGCTGGGCACAGCTGTCCTTGGCTGTTGGTCCCCTCTGCTGTTTTCACCTCCACTTCAGGGGAAGGGACCCTACTCTCCCCTTTGATCCTCTGGCCCAAGGACAGCTTAGGCCTGCCCTGCCCCTCAGCCCATCACAATACAGAAGAGCACATCATCTGAGAGGCGAAGGAGACTTTTTCAAAGGGTAAGTTGCCCCTCTGACTACTGCTGGTTGTGGTTGTTGGCACAACGCCCAGACTCCAGCCCCTATAAGGACCCCTGTGGCTGGGCTGGTTTAACTCCCTCCCCAAGCACAAGCACTGGGAACACCTAGGCCTCCCTGTGTTTCTGAGATCAAACCCCCAGGGAGGACTTTTTCCTGTTCTTCAGTCTCAGGCCCACCTCTCCAGCCCCACAAGGAACAGAGCTGGTCTTTCCCTCTGCAGCATTCCCCATATGATGTCACACACAGGTCCATACTGAGGACCATTAGAGCCAAAGGGGCCACTCTGCCTGCCTGCTTGCCAGTCCCTTCTTCACCCCGACTCACAGTGCCTGAAAACTGCTGCTCAGAGCTCCAAAAAAACAAACACTAGTTCTGGGGACAGCAGGTAGCCAACAGTTGCGCAGTCAATCATGTTTCTACAAAAAGCTCCAACATTTGGGGAATTGGGAGCTGCAGCTCTGATAAAAGATACAGCAATTCCCTTTCCTTTTTAAATGTTGCATGTATGATCAATGTTTTGTTTTGTTTTTATCTGGAAAGCTATTCCCTTTTTCTGTTATCAAACAGGACACTTCACTTCCCCTTTTGAGAAGGTTCAGTTTTCCCCTCCAAGAGTGAAGGGTGTGCCCTGTGTTTCTATTTGCACCAGGTCCAGTGACTTCACAGAGCAGAAGACAGTCTTTCCTGGATATCCACTCAAGTCTCCACCCCAAAGGGCAGGAAGATACAAAATAAGTTTTCAGGTTCCAGAAGTCTGAGAGGTTCAGCTCCACCCTGTTCTCTCTGTTAGCCAGGGAGTGTCTCTGTACCTACTGGCTCTCCTGGGTGATGTGGGCTGAGGGGCCTTGTATAACCTTGTGGCCAGTGTGGCCAAAAAAGGACAAGGGCACCTTCACTGG